TGTCTTTGTTCAACATTATTTTTAAACTTGAAAATAATATTTTCAATATTGGGTTAAGATATTGGGTTAAGATATTGGGTTAAGATATTGGGTTAAGATATTGGGTTAAGATATTGGGTTAAGATATTGGGTTAAGATATTGGGCTAAGATATTGGGTTAAGATATTGGGTTAAGATATTGGGTTAAGGTATTGGGTTAAGATATTGGGTTAAGATATTGGGTTAAGATATTGGGTTAAGATATTGGGTTAAGATATTGGGCTAAGATATTGGGTTAAGATATTGGGTTAAGATATTGGGTTAAGATATTGGGTTAAGATATTGGGTTAAGATATTGGGTTAAGATATTGGGCTAAGATATTGGGTTAAGATATTGGGTTAAGATATTGGGTTAAGATATTGGGCTAAGATATTGGGTTAAGATATTGGGTTAAGATATTGGGTTAAGATATTGGGTTAAGATATTGGGTTAAGATATTAGGTTAAGATATTAGGTTTTAAACAAGTGTAATTGTGTTAATTAACATTAGCAAGATATATATATATATATATATATATATATATATATATATATATATATATATATATATATATATATATATATATATATATGTCGTACCTAGTAGCCAGAACGCACTTTTATGCCTACTATGCAAGGCCCGATTTGCCTAATAAGCCAAGTTTTCCTGAATTAATTGTTTTTCGACAACCTAACCTACCTAACCTAACCTAACCTAACTTTTTCGGCTACCTCACCTAACCTAACCTCTAAAGATAGGTTAGGTTAGGTAAGGTTGGTTTGGTTTGGTCATATATCTACGTTAATTTTAACTCCAATAAAAAAAATTGACGTCATACATAATGAAATGGGTAGCTTTATCATTTCATAAGAAAAAAAATAGAGAAAATATATTAATTCAGGAAAACTTGGCTTATTAGGCAAATCGGGCCTTGCATAGTAGGCATAAAAGTGCGTTCTGGCTACTAGGTACGACATATATATATATATGCGTATGTGTAAATTAAGTCTTTGAAAATGTAAAAAGTTATTACGAAACGCATTCAAGCGTCGCGTCAGACTAGAAATAAAAGTGATTTTTGATATATATATATATATATATATATATATATATATATATATATATATATATATATATATATATATATATATATGTCGTACCTAGTAGCCAGAACGCACTTATCAGCCTACAATGCAAGGCCCGATTCGCCTAATAAGCCAAGTTTTCATGAATTAATATGTTTTCTCTAGTTTTTTTCTTACGAAATGATAAAGCTACCCATTTCATTATGTATGAGGTCAATTTTTTTTTAATGGAGTTAAAATTAACGTAGATATATGACCGAACCTAACCAACCCTACCTAACCTAACCTAACCTATCTTCATAGGTTAGGTTCGGTTAGGTAGCAGAAAAAGTTAGGTTAGGTTAGGTTAGGTAGGTTAGGTAGTCGAAAAAACATTAATTCATGAAAACTTGGCTTATTAGGCAAATCGGGCCTTGAATAGTAGGCTGATAAGTACGTTCTGGCTATTAGGTACGACATATATATATATATATATATATATATATATATATATATATATATATATATATATATATATATATATATATATATATATATATATATATGTCGTACCTAGTAGCCAGAACACACTTCTCAGCCTACTATGCATGGCCCGATTTGCCTAATAAGCGAAGTTTTCATGAATTAATTGTTTTTCGACTACCTAACCTACCTAACCTAACCTAACTTTTTCGGCTACCTAACCTAACCTAACCTATAAAGATAGGTTAGGTTAGGTAGGGTTGGTTAGGTTCGGTCATATATCTACGTTAATTTTAACTCCAACAAAAAAAAATTGACCTCATACATAATGAAATGGGTAGCTTTATCATTTCATAAGAAAAAAATTACAGAAAATATATTAATTCATGAAAACTTGGCTTATTAGGCAAATCGGGCCTTGCATAGTAGGCTGAGAAGTGCGTTCTGGCTACTAGGTACGACATATATATATATATATATATATATATATATATATATATATATATATATATTATATTTATATATATATATATATATATATATATATATATATATATATATATATATATATATATATATATATATATATATATATATATATATATATATATAACAGATTTCAGGGTCACCTATTGTCTTCTGTGTAAATACAAAGTCTTACAGAAATATTACCAAAATTATCACATTCCCGTAAGACAAATTCTGGAGACGGTATTCAATCTTCCAATCATCCCGAGTCAATTAAATATTAAGGATATCGAGGTGAGGCAGCAACAAGCGATATCAGGATATTCTGTTGCCGATATCCAGGCTTCGATTTGACATCTCGCTCGCCTCTCTAATGGGGCCCCGTGGATCTCACCTGCTGCTTCAGTTCACAGGCTGATATGGTCTAGAATTCCACACCTGTGAAGTCTCAGAGACATAGGGGTGTGATTCGCCAAATGAAAGTATTTTGAACCACGGTTGGTGGGTTGGCACAGCTTTCAACTCTCCTTGGAGACGAGTTCGAGATTCTTGATTGATCAAGATAGAAATGAATTACTAAGATGATAGAAGAATTAGATCTTACGCTATTCTCAAGAACATCTCAAGACGACCTTCTTAATTGAGATCAAGATGCCTAACATGACCTCCAGCATCCTTTAGATTAGTAATTTAGTGCTAACAATAGAACTAGAGAGAGCAGTTAGCACTTCGTAGCAACTTTGTATGCTAATTAGTTGAGTAAAAGTGATTCACAATGTCATGGTGATATCTACTTATTGTAACTCACTTGTTGGTGATATTCCAAGTAATTTGTGCAGCATCTATGTACTGGCGTTCGAGGTATAGTGTGTGTGTGTGTGTGTGTGTGTGTGTGTGTGTGTGTGTGTGTGTGTGTGTGTACTCACCTAGTTGTGTTTGCGGGGGTTGAGCTCTGGCTCTTTGGTCCTGCCTCTCAACCGTCAATCAACTGGTGTACAGGTTCCTGAGCCTATTGGGCTCTATCATATCTACATTTGAAACTGTGTATGGAGTCAGCCTCCACCACATCACTGCCTAATGCATTCCATTTACTAACTACTCTGACACTGAAAATGTTCTTTCTAACGTCCCTGTGGCTCATTTGGGTACTCAGCTTCCACCTGTGTCCCCTTGTTCGCGTCCCACCAGTGTTGAATAGTTCATCTCATCCTTGTTTACCCGGTCGATTTCCCTGAGGATTTTGTAGGTTGTGATCATGTCCCCCCTTACTCTTCTGTCTTCCAGTGTCGTAAGGTGCATTTCCCGCAGCCTTTCCTCATAACTCATGCCTCTTAGTTCTGGGACTAGTCTAGTAGCATACCTTTGGACTTTTTCCAGCTTCGTCTTGTGCTTGACAAGGTACTGTGTGTGTGTGTGTGTGTGTGTGTGTGTGTGTGTGTGTGTGTGTGTGTGTGTGTGTGTGTGTGTGTGTGTGTGTGGTGATTATAGCAACAAGTTGTTACCAAGTGACAGTAACCAGTAATAACTTTTTTATCAGTGCCAGAGACCTTTGTAATGCGCTATGACATGTTTGTACTTACCTAGTTGTGCTTGCGGGGGGTTGAGCTTTAGCTCAGAATACCTGCCTTTTGTTTTCTGGGCCCTTGAGTACCTTAACTCTACTTCGACTAGGTACTCAAACATCAGTACTCTGATGGGAGCCGGTGGCTGAGCAGATAGAACACTGGACGCGTGATCCTGTGGTTCCGGGTTCGATCCCGGGCGCCGGCGAGAAACGATAGGCAGAGTTTTTTTTCACCCTGATGCTCCCGTTACCTAGCAGTAAATAGGTACCTGGGAGTTAGTCAGCGGTCACGGGCTGCTTCCTGGGGGTGGAGGCCTGGTCGAGAACCGGGCCGCGGGGACACTAAAGCCCCGAAACCATCTCAAGATAACCCTGTGATAGCTCATCCCCACAGGGGCTTCGAAACCGATTTCTCTTGTGTCTGAGTCGTTTAGAGTGAAGACCAGGTTGAGTCTCGCTGGTTCATCATTTCCTCTCAACCTTGTGGATTCCCTGACATGCTGGCTTAAGAAGTTTCTTGTCGCCACCTCCAACAGCTTAGCTCTCCATGTATCCTCACCTCCGTACGGTTCCTTGTTCTCCCAGTCTATACTTCCGTGATTGAAGTCGCCCATGATGAGCAGGTGGGATCTATTTCTACAGGCCGCAGAGGCTGCTCTCTCAATTATAGTATTAACTGCCTTGTTGTTGTTTTCATACTCTTGACTGGGTCTTCTGTCGTTTGGTGGTTATATATCACTGCTACAACTACTCTTGGTCCTCCCAAGTGCCTGTTATGTAGTCTATAAGCCTCTTGCAGCCTGGGATAACCATCTACTTGAAACTCAATTCCTTTCCCATGAGTAAGGCCAGTCCACCTCCTCTCCTTCATTCCCTCTCCTTATTATGGTGTTGTCCTGGGGGAAACACCGCATTCGTTATGTTTCCTGAGAGTTTTGTTTCCGTGAGTCCAATTACATCGGAGGTTCACTTCTTGTGCTCTTTCCCTAAGTTCACTTGCCTTGCTTCTAATCTCATCTATGTTCAAGTATATGATCTTGAAGCTGACTTTCTTCTGTCTATCCTCAGTTTCTGCTGATTCCACTGGAGTTGGGGGCGAGGTGTGTGTGTGTGTGTGTGTGTGTGTGTGTGTGTGTGTGTGTGTGTGTGTGTGTGTGTGTGTGTGTGTGTGTCTGTGTGTGTGTGTGTGTGTGTGTGTTACACAATAACACATGACCACACACAATCCCTTTAGTCTCCACAACCTCACACCACAAGCCAAAAAAGCTGAATCACATAAAAGAAACGTTAGACTTTTTTCTAAAATACAGCAACATAACAAAACTCAAATTTTAAAAATATGCCAAAAGTGAGGTCGAAAGATAACTCAAAAGACGACATGTGGCAATAATGGCGGGAAGGGAGAGTATAAATAGCCGGAGCGGGACAGTTGGAGCTCCAGTTGTCCCCAGAGCGTCTCTGGGAGTTGACCTGAAGGAGACCCGTGTACCATGATGTATTGGTAAGTCTTAATTTACTCCCCCCAGCTTGGGTACCCGGCGTTACCCGGGTACTCAGAGGCCATATACACACCCTTATCTCTGTAAATACTTTTCCTTTGCATACACAATGCTGTATACGCGTCATACAGCCCCGTCTCTCTGTCTACAGGCTGCTGACAGTAGGTGTGTTGACGGCGTCGCTGCTGGGACAGGCTGATGCCTACCCGACCGGCGCTCCGAAGGCCGCCTGCGCCACGCTGGAACCGCAACACGATTCCAATGACAGCCCCATTCACAGTGACCTGTACGCCATCTTCGTGGAGGTGGTGGATGATATCCAACTCAAGGGTGAGTGTGTGGGTGATAGACAGATGTTGGGGTAAGATAGACAGATGTTGGGGTAAGATAGACAGATGTGGGGGTGATAGACAGGCGAGCTACGAATGATCAGACGGTTGTGGCCTGTTTGAACTTGCTTGGTTGGGTGAAATTGGTCCATTCCTAAGCTGTCTCGACTTCGATTCGTCAGTTATCATTTGATAACTGGAAATTGGGGGATTAACTCACGATTTGGTGATTGTTAAAGGAGCTAATGATTGTCACACACACTTGACAATGATCCAGGATTGTACGATACTTCGTGTGACAATTAAGTCGTATAACAATCTATATTTTTATATATTTTAGGTTCCTTAAGGCAAAATACAAGCCTATTCTCCATAATACAAATTTGCTGTACCTTTCAGATGTATATACTATATGTATGAGCATGTAAGGTGTATATATGATGCATTTACTAGCAATAGGTCGGTCAAAGGGCCTTGTTACCCGGTATCCCTACTCACCATTCCTTGGAATAATTGCCCAATTATCTCTCTCTCTCAGTTACCCTCAACACGACTGGAAAGGAGTTTAAGGGCTTTATCTTGGCTGCTGACGACCCAACTGGAGTGTTAACTCCTTTAGATTCTCACGCTCAAGTGCTAGATTGTCCGGTAAGTTGAAGTGTAAGTTGTAACTCCACTTACCTCTATACGACTCTCTATTCCTGCCTACAGGGTCAAGCTTTAGCTATTGGGCTCTGCCTTTACCACCCGCCTGTCGGGCCTCTAATGCAGTGTGAATAATTTAGGCTTTTGTAATTATAAATGTATTTTTGCTCCTGTTGACTAGGCTGTTACGAATTCCAGATTCGTAACAGTACAATTCAGCCTGTTTACCAGTACAATTGAGCTGTTTACCAGTACAATTGAGCTGTTTACCAGTACAATTGAGCTGTTTACCAGTACAATTGAGCTGTTTACCAGTACAATTGAGCTGTTTACCAGTACAATTGAGCTGTTTACCAGTACAATTGAGCTGTTTACCAGTACAATTGAGCTGTTTACCAGTACAATTGAGCTGTTAACCAGTACAATTGAGCGGTTAACTAGTACAATTGAGCTGTTTACCAGTACAATTGAGCTGTTTACCAGTACAATTGAGCTGTTTACCAGTACAATTGAGCTGTTTACCAGTACAATTGAGCTGTTTACCAGTACAATTGAGTTGTTTACCAGTACAATTGAGTTGTTTACCAGTACAATTGAGCTGTTTACCAGTACAATTGAGCTGTTTACCAGTACAATTGAGCTGTTTACCAGTACAATTGAGCTGTTTACCAGTACAATTGAGCTGTTTACCAGTACAATTGAGTTGTTTACCAGTACAATTGAGCTGTTTACCAGTACAATTGAGCTGTTTACCAGTACAATTGAGCTGTTTACCAGTACAATTGAGTTGTTTACCAGTACAATTGAGCTGTTTACCAGTACAATTGAGTTGTTTACCAGTACAATTGAGTTGTTTACCAGTACAATTGAGCTGTTTACCAGTACAATTGAGTTGTTTACCAGTACAATTGAGCTGTTTACCAGTACAATTGAGCTGTTTACCAGTACAATTGAGCTGTTTACCAGTACAATTGAGCTGTTTACCAGTACAATTGAGCTGTTTACCAGTACAATTGAGCTGTTTACCAGTACAATTGAGTTGTTTACAAAATAAATATATGAAAATGTAAATACTATTGAACCTTTAAGAAAAAGGAAGAAATATCATAACATTATTAACTTATTAATACTTCCCAGACACATTAACCATCACCCAGAAGCTGTAATCTCCCTTTCCCATAATGCTCTTTCCCTTTCTCCCATTCCATCATTCCCTGCACCTCTAGTAATATGGAGAAGGAATCATCAGGGGGATGATAATACATCATCCTTGATGAATTGTAGAGCTAAATACCATTAAATAAACTAGTAGAGTGACAGACATCAATTGGAAAGGGATCAGGATTTGAGATGGGACAGAGAGGAGGTGAAGGAATGGTGCCCAACCACTTGTGGATCCTTGGGGGATTGAACGCCGACCTGCAGGACGCCAGACCGTCTCTCTATACCCTCCGGCCAAAGTGGTTGGGCTACTAATTTGAAAATTGCAACCCATTCTCCGAATTGACAGTACGATTTAATACTAAGTGTAATAAGTACATTTTCTTACTGTCATAAACAGTGCACAATTGCACTTATGGGGCTGTCATTTTTGGAGGACGGGCTGAAAAATTGTTTGTAAACTATATATATATATATGTGTGTGTGTGTAAATACATATATACAAGTTGTACACAAACAGGAATGAGAATAGCCTAACCTCTCTCTCTCTCTCTCTCTCTCTCTCTCTCTCTCTCTCTCTCTCTCTCTCTCTCTCTCTCTCTCTCTCTCTCTCTCTCATACCTTCTGTATGTTCATGCGTCAACGCACTTCCTTAAGTTTCACTCCCCTCGCCTCTAGGACCAGCCCACAGTGACCCATACCAGCCGTGTTCTGAAGCAGAGTGTCACTCTTCACTGGCAGAGAGATACTGGCCTGGCCGCAGTCAACTTCCTGTGAGTATCCTTAGAGGGATTATGAGTCGTTCTGTGAGATGTCTGGAAGATCAATAATCCTGGTCAGTAATCCCGATGGTCAATAATCCCGATGGTCAATAATCCTGATCAATAATCCCAATGGTCAATAATCCTGATCAATAATCCCAATGGTCAATAATCTTGGTCAATAATCGTGATCAATAATCCAGATGGTCAATAATCCTGATGGTCAATAATCCCGATGGTCAATAATCCCGCTGGTCAATAATCCTGATGGTCAATAATCCCGATGGTTAATAATCCCGATGGTCAATAATCCCGATGGTCAATAATCCCGATGGTCAATAATCCCGATGATCAATAATCGTGATCAATAATCCCGATGGTCAATAATCCCGATGGTCAATAATCCCGCTGGTCAATAATCCTGATGGTCAATAATCCCGATGGTTAATAATCCCGATGGTCAATAATCCCGCTGGTCAATAATCCCGCTGGTCAATAATCCCGCTGGTCAATAATCCCGCTGATCAATAATCCCGCTGGTCAATAATCCTGATGGTCAATAATCCCGATGGTCAATAATCCCGATGGTCAATAATCCCGCTGGTCAATAATCCTGATGGTCAATAATCCCGCTGGTCAATAATCCCGCTGGTCAATAATCCTGATGGTCAATAATCCTGAGTAATAATAATGATCTCCACTCCACAGAGCAACAGCGGTCACGGCGTACGAAGACGACTACATTACCGGAATAAGCTATTCCTACAGCCCTTAAAATTCGCGAGTTTCTTCTCCAAGACTCAGACACACTTACAGGGAAAATTCTTGCCACGTCACGCTGAGTTTCCCCAAGTTATTGGGGAATTTTCCCCATGATATTGGGGAATTTCCCCAGTTTATTGGGGAAATTCCCTAGTTTATTGGGGAAATTCCCCAGTTTATTGGGGAAATTCCCTAGTTTATTGGGGAAATTCCCTAGTTTATTGGGGAATTTCCTCAGGTTTTTGGGGAATTTTCCCAATCTGAGAGCGGAAGGATAACAGGAATGTGAAATACAATCAGGATTGTATCCTTGACATTTAAATAAATTGGTGAATGTATTTCTATATTTACCTCCTTTTAATTTATTTTCATTCTACTGTATCAACGAAAACTTGGTTGGTGGGGCCTGGGGCCTGACGGCTGAGTGGACAACGCTTGGGACTCATTGTCCTAAAGTTCCGAGTTCGATCCCCAGTGGCGAGGAGTTAATGAACATTATACAAAACACGTTATATTAAGAACTACATCCTGGGGGGTGAAAAGATGCATAGTAAGCGTCATAATGTATACTAATGCGTCGCATTTTAAACGGATTAGTTAATTCCGTAACAAAAAACGACGGATGGGAGGTTAGTTTAAGTGTAGTTAATATGATGACTGAGCCAACTGCCTCAATTTATTTGGAAACGAATCAATTCTTGCGAAATGTAATTGGTTTAACAGTTATGTAATTGGGGGGAGGGGGGGGGTGTCGATGTGGCTTTTCTCATTCATCTGAAGTTGATGTAATTGGTATATGTATTTGATATTAAATGGTTAATGATAGTGGAATTGTTACTGCAGTTCTCGATCTCTTTCTCTCTCTCCCTGTTTCTCATTTTCTGTCTGTCAGCAGCGGAATCTTTCCCATCTCCCGTTTCACACACACTCCCTTACATCTGATGACCAGAATCACACTACTGGGCCTAGTATGCAAGATACAATTTGCCTAACTGGCAAAACGATTTTCGTTATTTTCCGATGTTGCTTTGCATTTTAATTCTTTTCTTGTAATAATAATATATTACATTAAGAATACGACTTAGTTATGTTAGTATAGATTTAAATTTGCTAGGTTAGGATAGGTTTGAATATGTTAGCTTAGGATAGGTTTCAATATAACATGTTAGATTAAGTTATGTTAAATTTTGATCAAATGTCTGTTTCTGATTCAAAAGTAAATAAATAAATAAATAAATATATTAATACAAATAAATGAAATCAAATATAATGTAATAGAAAGTTTTATAATTCCAGAATTTTTATTATGGAATTACATGGAATTTCACCCCATTTTTGTCGCACTTTCTTGAGTGCTTAAGGTCTATAAGTGGTGTATTAGGACCAGAATTCAGCCCATACTGACAGGGCCTGACGGCTGAGTGGACAGCGCTCGGGATTCGAAGTCCTAAGTTTCCGGGATCGATCCCCGGCGGAGGTGGAAACAAATGAACATACTTTCTTTCACCCTGATGCCCCCCTGTTCACCTAGCAGTAAATAGGTACTTGGGAGTTAGAGAGCTGCTACGGGCTGCTTCCTGGGGTTGAGTAACGAAAAGGAGGCCTGGTCGAGGACCGGACCGCGGGGACGCTAAGCCCCGAAATCATATCAAGATAACCTCAAGATAACAATTCTTCCCGTTTCGGTAGTCTTATAGTAACAGATGAGGACCATAGTACACATACAGACATACAACGCAATTAGAAAGTAGAAATCTGTACTATTGAGTTGGACAAACCGGAAAACTATTTTTTACTTGCGTAATTGAAATTGAAATTAGTTTATTGAGGTAAAATACACACAAAGGGATGAGGTAGCTCAAGCTATTCTCACCCCGTTCAGTACATCGTGTTAATACATACATAGACACACATCACAAACAATAAACATATTACCGAACATTCTGAGAGATAAACATCTACATTTCCTTTTACTTGTGTTTCAAAAGATTAACCTAACCTAACCTTCCTAGGCCTAATTCACGATATCTGAGGCCTCATATAGTACATATGTGTACTATACTAGGCCTGGGAATGTCTAAGTTTGTTTTTAGAATAATTTCTTTTAAAGAATTCCTTATTAGTCAGTATCGTACTATTTAAAAGCTTAGTAAGTACGAATTCGTGACTATTGACTATCGTTACACTAGGAGCATCCTCCTCTAAACAGGAGGATGGGTTGAAGACTAATTATAATTAGACTTTGAGATGTAAGTCTGCTCCTAATCACACACTCAGGAGAGGACGAAAGACTTGGCGTAATTTCGTTACAAATTTTTTTCATAAATGCATAAATGTAGGTTTTTATCCTAAATAATATTAATAATATACTGAAGAATGTTTATATATAACTATAAATTACGATTAAAAACAAAATTACAAACATTATATACACGCTTTCAGAAACTCAAAAAAATTACCAGCTCGGATGAATCCACGAAATATCCGGGCTCCCGCGAACGTAAACAAAGACCCCGGGCGTGGAGCACAAGACGCGCCCTCTGTACTCGTCTCACGAACGCGACCTCTCATCAATCTCCACCGCCACCAAGGAACTTTCCTGGTTATGTAACAACCTCTTTCACTTCCCACCACGAACCAGTCCCTTAGAAATGTCTCGGGCTGCGTAATGACCCAGATATTGTCGGAGAAAACGGGCGGGTTAGCGTCGATCATGGCACTATTGGGGGAGGTTTTGGCGGGAAGGTCTTGGCGGGAAGGTTTTGGCGGGAAGGTCTTGGCGGGAAGGTCTTGGCGGGAAGGTCTTGGCGGGAAGGTCTTGGCGGGAAGGTCTTGGCGGGAAGGTTTTGGCGGGAAGGTCTTGGCGGGAAGGTCTTGGCGGGAAGGTCATGGCGGGAAGGTTTTGGCGGGAAGGTCTTGGCGGGAAGGTCTTGGCGGGAAGGTCTTGGCGGGAAGGTCTTGGCGGGAAGGTCTTGGCGGGAAGGTCTTGGCGGGAAGGTCTTGGCGGGAAGGTCTTGGCGGGAAGGTCTTGGCGGGAAGGTCTTGGCGGGAAGGTTTTGGCGGGAAGGTTTTGGCGGGAAGGTCTTGGCGGGAAGGTTTTGACGGGAAGGTTTTGGCGGGAAGGTTTTGGCGGGAAGGTTTTGGCGGGAAGGTTTTGGCGGGAAGGTTTTGGCGGGAAGGTTTTGACGGGAAGGTTTTGGCGGGAAGGTTTTGGCGGGAAAGTTTTGGCGGCAAGGTTTTGGCGGCAAGGTTTTGGCGGGAAGGTTTTGGCGGGAAGGTTTTGGCGGGAAGGTTTTGGCGGGAAGGTTTTGGCGGGAAGGTTTTGGCGGGAAGGTTTTGGCGGGAAGGTGTTGGCGGGAAGGTTTTGGCGGGAAGGTTTTGACGGGAAGGTTTTGGCGGGAAGGTTTTGGCGGGAAGGTTTTGGCGGGAAGGTTTTGGCGGGAAGGTTTTGGCGGGAAGGTTTTGGCGGGAAAGTTTTGGCGGCAAAATTGCGTACATTCACATGGATGCGCTTTAAGTAAACATACACACTTAGGGGTTAAATTAAGCGAGCTCTCCATTCACCTGATTCACCTGGGCTGTATAGGAGACTTGAACATAAGAACAAAGGTAACTGCAGAAGGCCTATTGGCCCATACGAGGCAGCTCCTATTTATAACCACCCAATCCCACTCATATACATGTCCAACACACGCTTGAAACAATCGAGGGACCCCTAAAATGGAACCGTGGACCCCATGCATGCGCAGCCCAAGCTCTATCGACTGGACTATAAGTAGTCTTAATAAGAAACCTTTTACGAGCTAGTTTTACACAGGACGAACAACACAGGCATCACCCGCTCATAAACCACACTGTTTACCGTACCAAATGAATTCGAACAGGGCAATCAACCTCTATAACGATCAACTACTCAATTAGTTACAATTCGCGTGACGTCATTAAAGATGTAAGGCTGAGGAGAATCCCCAAAACTTGAAATTGAACCCCAAACCAGGAACTGCCGCGGGTTTACGGGTTCGCCATAGCCCGTGCTACATGGACACTTCGTTCTGAGTAGCTAAGTCTAAAGCATCATCAACAATGAACTGGTTCGGTCATTAGGGGTTGGTGGTGGAACCTGGAAAATAAGTACCGGAAGTTGGAATTACACTAATTTACGTTTCTTAGGATTATGTCAACACTGACGCATGTTGGCTGGGTGTAATTACCTGTAATTACCTAAGTGTAGTTACAGGATGAGAGTTACGCTCGTGGTGTCCCGTCTTCCCAGCACTCTTAGGAGTGTAACGCTTTGGTACTGTGGGTGAGAGAGAGAGAGAGAGAGAGAGAGAGAGAGAGAGAGAGAGAGAGAGAGAGAGAGAGAGAGAGAGAGAGAGAGAGAGAGAGAGAGACAGAGAGAAACAGAGAGAGACAGAGACAGAGACAGAGACAGAGACAGACAGAGAGAGAGAGAGAGAGAGAGAGAGAGAGAGAGAGAGAGAGAGAGAGAGAGAGAGAGAGAGAGAGAGAGAGAGAGAGAGAGAGAGAGAGAGAGCAAGCATGTGTTAAAGTGAGTTCTTGAGAGTGCGAGCGTATGAGAGTGCGAGTGAGAGTGAACGCATATAGTTATACTCAACCCCCACAGACAAAAATGGGTTAAGTTTCAGCTCATGGGTCCCGCCTCTGAACAATCAATCAACTGGTCTTAAAATCTTTCTAGTACCTTCATGGGGTTATTCAGGTCCTCAATGTCCTGTTATACTCCATATTCGAGTACCAACATAAACCACTAGTTTGCCCTTCCCTGCCCTATTTTACTCCAAGAATCTTGTATGTAGTGATCATGTCTCAACAATTTCTTCTCGCGCGAGAAGAGTGAGCCGAAACAACCTTAACATAACTGGCATTAGCTAACTATATGTCGCGAAGCTGAAGGGTCATTAAGCAACAACCAATTAGCGATTCGGGGCCAATTCAGCTACTAACGAGGCGAGAGGACAATCGAATGATCAGCCAAGAGGACTGTCAACTACGCCAGGCGCCAATAGAGGTCATGTAACAGGAAGGGGGGGGGGGGAGGGGGGTTAGGGGGGGGGGGGAAGGGGGTTAGGGGGGGGGGGGGGGAGTGGGTGGTGCCAGCGCAGTCGGGTATTTAAGCTTGGCACACCTGAGGAATTGGCATCACTGTCTCAGAGAGCCGTGGACACGTCTCTTCCTCCTCCTCTACTTCACTTCACCTTACTCCAGTAACATGCAGGTAACGTAGCCTAAGGTAACGCCTAGGTAATCCTTACGGGATCACCGTAGCCCGTGCTACTTGGAAACTTCTTGTTCTGAGTGGCTGAATCTAAAAACAGCAACAATAACCTAACCTAACCTAACCTAACCTAACCTAACCTAACCTCACCTAACCTAACCTAACCTAACCTAACCTAACCTAACCTAACCTCACCTCACCTAACCTAACCTAACCTAACCTAACCTCACCTAACCTAACCTAACCTAACCTAACCTAACCTAACCTCACCTAACCTAACCTACCCTAACCTAACCTAACCTAACCTAACCTACCCTAACCTAACCTCACCTAACCTAACCTAACCTAACCTAACCTAACCTCACCTAACCTACCCTAACCTAACCTAACCTACCCTAGGTAACTCATGCAGTGTGTGAGGCGTGAGGCGGGGGGGGGGGGTGAATGTTGGGCATTCTAACATCCCCAAACACTATATAACACAGAACAGATCCACAAGGGCCGTGATGAGGATTCGAACCTGCGTCCGGGAGCATCCCAGACACTGCCTTAATCGACTGAGCTGCGACAGGGTCAAAAGGAGTTGAAACCGAAGTTCTACTGAACTTACTGGATCCTGCAGTCTCTCCGAGACACAAACCAGGGTTTTACACAACTCCCCCCTGCACTCGAGCTATGTCAATAGGCCGTTCTCAATGCAGGGGGGGGGGTTGTGTAAAAGCCTGGTTTGTGCCTCGGAGAGGCTACGGGATCCAGTAAGTTCAGTAGAACTTTGGTTTCAACTCTTTTAACCCTGTCGTAGCTCAGTCGATTACGGCAGTGTCTGGGATGCTCCCGGACGCAGGTTCGAATCCTCGTCACGGCCCTTGTGGACTTATTCATTTGATGCATCACGTTAGTGTGATCTCTGTGTGTAACTACAGAAGGCCTATTGGCCTATACGAGACATAAGTCAATAGGCCTTAGGACAATATAGGTCTTGTCATCATTTATATCCATCCAATCTCATTCATATACGTGTCTAACCTACGCTTGAAACAATCAAGGGATGATTGGCGGCTCCTGCGTTGGTATAGGGAAGGGTGGAGGATATCATGGATATCATAACCAGATCTGGGAGCTGGGATTCCTTCCCACACAAGCAGAGCTAACAGGATGAGAGAGAGAGAGAGAGAGAGAGAGAGAGAGAGAGAGAGAGAGAGAGAGAGAGAGAGAGAGAGAGAGAGAGAGAGAGAGAGAGAGAGAGAGAGAGAGAGAGAGAGAGAGAGAGAGAGAGAGAGAGAGAGAGAGAGAGAGAGAGAGAGAGAGAGAGAGAGAGAGAGAGAGAGAGAGAGAGAGAGAGAGAGAGAGAGAGAGAGAGAGAGAGAGAGAGAGAGAGAGAGAGAGAGAGAGAGAGAGAGAGAGAGAGAGAGAGAGAGAGAGAGAGAGAGAGAGAGAGAGAGAGAGAGAGAGACAGAGAGAGAGACAGAGAGAGAGAGAGAGAGAGAGAGACAGAGACAGAGAGACAGAGACAGAGAGACAGAGAGACAGAGACAGAGAGACAGAGACAGAGACAGAGAGACAGAGACAGAGACACAGAGAGAGAGAAAGTACTCATAACTAGAATGGAAATATAATTGCCTCTGATCCCAATTGCCGGATTCTGAGATCTGTAACAAGTACACCAATTCCACTTTCTCCTTACTTAACGACAGACTAACGAGGACCCTCTCGCCCTCGTTATCACTCCCGGTTGATGTGTAATCACCCCAAAATGATACACAATTCCGATAAACTCACATCAAGAAATCATTTCACTTCTGTCAATTATCATTCTTGCGTCCTTCTCAGTATTTCATGTATCTTCAGCGCATGTTACGCCGCCGCATGTTATCGAAGTTTGTTTTTACATAAACTCATGTGTTGAGAATGCCATAAACTCCCTCATAACAGAGGCGGACCCAGGAGCTAGAGTCCATCCCCCACAAGAGTACACACACACATGTAAGTGCACTTAGGTGAGCGCAAGAGCAGGGACGCGCATGCGCACAACCTCCCCTGAGGCGGGGAGGGGGGTGGTGGGCGGTCATTGTCTTAAAAGAAACTACTTTTTTGTGGTTTATAATTCCGAACGTTTGAAAATCTGGAGAATGGCGGCGACTGGATGACTGGAAATAACTGGAAATGGAAAGGCGTGATTGGAAGAATCTGATTGGAGCTGGAGTGGGGGTGGGGGGGTGGGGGGGATATAACCAATGGGGTGATGGGAAATCAAATATTACACTCCAACAAGCTCATATACCCTCCTCATCAATTTCTAATTCATCAAATTCCTCATTTAACCTCCTAGCAACAACATTGCTTCATCAACCTAAGCTCGCTACATAATTTAGACATAGAAACTTTATTATTTTCCGGATGCTATAGGGAGGTCCCCAGGAAAGGATCTGTCCCTATGTCAATCCCATACCCAACACCATTCCCCCTGCAAATTTCGACAAGACTACAGCCCCTCTAGCCTCTAAACTTCGAGCAGACAGCAAGACAGGAATTCCCTCGTATAGAAGAGATATGTTGCATCTTGCTTTACTTCTGCCCGTGTTCTAGCAGTTATTGGATTTCTGAATTGTTTTTGCAGGTAATGGAGGTCCTCTTGGCGATGGTGGTTCTGTTGCAGGTGGTGTCGTCGGCGCCAGAGAAGCGCCTCTTCCAGCAGCCACTGGGATATGCGAACCGGAGGCCAGTTGATCCCTTTCCCGCGGAAGGGACGAGGAAGGAATCCCATTCCAAAAGGCTCAGTTCTAGACAGGATTACGAGGCTCGTCTGGAGTCGTATCGGCATCCTGTTAGGACCTATCGACAGCCTGTGTATGGTTCACTACAGGCGTATCATGAACCACCTCGAATCCCTGGACAGAGCTACCAAGAACCACCTCGAACCACTGTACAGAGCTACCATGAACCACCACGAACCCCTGTACAGAGCTACCAAGAACCACCACGAACCCCTGTACAGAGCTTCAATGAACCACCACGAACCCCTGTACAGAGCTACCAAGAACCACCACGAACCCCTGTACAGAGCTACCAAGAACCACCACGAACCCCTGTACAGAGCTACCAAGAACCACCACGAACCCCTGTACAGAGCTTCAATGAACCACCACGAACCCCTGTACAGAGCTACCAAGAACCACCACGAACCCCTGTACAGAGCTACCAAGAACCACCACGAACCCCTGTACAGAGCTACCAAGAACCACCTCGAACCCCTGTACAGAGCTTCAATGAACCACCACGAACCCCTGCACAGAGCTACCATGAACCACCACGAACCCCTGTACAGAGCTTCAATGAACCACCACGAACCCCTGTACAGAGCTACCATGAACCACCACGAACCCCTGTACAGAGCTACCATGAACCACCACGAACCCCTGTACAGAGCTACCATGAACCACCACGAACCCCTGTACAGAGCTTCAATGAACCACCACGAACCCCTGTACAGAGCTACCAAGAACCACCTCGAACCTCTGGACAGACCTACGATGAACCACTTCGAACCCCTGTACAGAGCTACCAAGAACCACTTCGAATCCATTCCCAGACCTACCAACAGCCTGCCCCAGAATACACGGTAAGCCCGTATATATTAAAACCAAAAAATATATATTTTCCAATTGGCCTATATTGACCTATACCCACTAATCTACTTTTTCAGCCTATACTGAACCTATCCTGTCGTTGCTGCCCCAATACTTAAGGTAGTGAGGAGTACTGATTGTGATGTAGAATGTAGACGAATGCCTGGATGAAAGCTGATTTTAATAGATGATGATGTTTCTACTGTAAGGCATTCATTAAATATATTTATTAATATCTTATACGTGTCTTCGATAAGCAAGCAAGCAAGCCAGCCAGCCACTCTGTCTGTCTGTCTGTCTCTCTTTTGTGGTATCTATATATTCCAGAAATGTATATTAACCGATCAATCATCTATATGTTTGGTCCAACCACTTGGACTGGACGGTAGAGCGACGGTCTCGCTTCATAAAGGTCGGTATTCAATCCCCCGAGACCGTCCACAAGTGGTTGGGCACCATTCCTTTCCCTCCGTCCCATCCCAAATCCTTATCCTGACCCCCCCTTCCCAGTGCTATATAGTCGTGATGGCTTGGTGCTTTTCCCTTGATTGTTCCCTCCCTTCCCTTGCCTGTCTGGTGGGTTCAGGTACACAGAGCACTAAAGGAAGCACTTGAGAAAGCACTCGAAGAAGCACTTGAGAAAGCACTCGAGGAAGCACTGTTAACTAATTGACTGGTAACATTTTCTGTCTATGTCCAGCTTCACTTTTCTCGGTTAGGTTAATGCAACATGTTCAGAGCAGAATAAGGACTCCTCCTTACTGTCCTCCGCTCCTGTGCCAGGTAAGTCCACTACGGGCTCACCATAGCCCGTGCTACTTGCCCCGCTCCTGTGCCAGGTAAGTCCACTACGGGCTCACCATAGCCCGTGCTACTTGCCCCGCTCCTGTGCCAGGTAAGTCCACTACGGGCTCACCATAGCCCGTGCTACTTGGAACTTGTTCCGAGTAGCTGAATCTATAACAACTGTCCTCTGCCAGGCTCCGCCTCACTATGACTTCACGTACATCGTGGGTGATGAGGATCCCTACGGGGGACAGGTAGACTTCGGCCACCAGGAGACCCGGGATCTGGGCTACACCTCCGGCAGGTTAGTGAGGGCGGCGCTGCCACTGCTCCTTAAGGGGTATTCTGTTAATTCTCGTTTCGTTGTGTTGGGAGGGTAGGGTGACATGGTCTGGGAAGGGGGGGATTTGGGGATGGAAAAGGAATGGTGCCCAACCAGTTGGACAGGGAGACAGGCACTGTCATTTCTTTAAACCGCAATCATTTAAAACAAATTTATATATAAAAACAGAAGTACTTTAATGGATCGAACTTTTAATAGTTCCTACAGATCAAAAAAATTAAAGTACAGTTCTTTATAGAAATATTTAATCAAATTCAAACTTAAACCACAAAATAAGTTTGTAAGCAAACATGAATTTAAAATATTATATTGATGTTTACCAAGTATTCAAAGTAAAATATGTAAATTAGAAAGAATGACAACAGATTCTTATTTCAGTTACTACATCCTGCTTCCGGACTCTCGCATGATGAAGGTGGTATACTACGCTGATCATACCGGCTTCCACCCCGTCTACACCTACGAGGACGACGCTGTCTACACCCCTCAGCCCCCTTCTGTCTACTCCCCTCAACCAGACCCCTACCTGCCTCCATCATCTCTCCGATACTCGAGTCCCAGTGAGAAACATGAGACCTGAGAGATCCCAAAGGAGGAAACCAGATCTAACCTAAATCTCCGATAAGAGCTACGATAAAAGGCATAGGATTCTATATACTCTTATTTCTAGCTCTCTTGACAAGGACACGGCTATTAAACCTATCCTACCCTTGAACCGTCCGTAGAAGAGATGCCGTTAATTAATATGGCGAGGTGCCTCTACGTAAGGATGGAGCCGTTTCAATATTTTCCACCAGTTACTCCCAGATTCAACGCCATTAGTCATATACTCATTAACTATTCGGTAAAACAAGCACAAGAGATACGGTTTTGTAGATGAAGTAAAGTGGTGGATCTTTTATGGTGTTGGATTCTATTCAGTGCTGGATAAGCGCCAGGGTTACATAACCTTAGAAGCAGGGGATCTAATCCTTTAAAGGGGGGGGGGGGGCAAAAATAAATATCCTACTTTTCCTTCAGTAAGCAGTAGACATCCTCAAACGCTTTGCTGGATTGATTTCATGCCCATTATCTAAATTATCCTGAGAGTCATCGTCGCTTTTGTCCTCGAATGGGACAGAAAGCCGATCACTTGTCAAAGTCCAACCCACCATTATGTATTAGGCTATTTTCTCCCGTCACATTTCAATCTAATCATTCAAGGCTTCAGAGGCGGGTAGGCAATTTAATATTTATATTTACGTATGGATGAAAAAGCCTCACATTTTTCAATGTGGTTTGTTGAGCCTGAACCCCCTTGTGAGGTTTAATGTCTTTAGTTTGTTTAGTACTTTTTAAAAGGTCTCCCTAAAATCAACCTTGTCATGATTAGGTTGTAGCTCTAAGACCCACGACCTTTTCTAGTTTGAGAGTCGACTCAGGTTAGGGATGACTTTTTGCCGCACTGCGTTGAATCTTTTTTTCCCCCAATGTAGTTACGTTCCTATGTGGTTTCCATGGGTGTATGTTGTGGCTCCGATTGGGGTGTGGTTCACGGTTTTGTGGTTCAGTCGAAATTTCAACTGCTGTAATTCAATAACAACTTGACTACTTTCCACTTTATCTGAATTCTGGCTGCTAAGCACAATAGGGTAATTTTACATGGTATAATAGCTTATCCACACGTCTCCAAGACCAGCTTCATATATTATATTTTTCTTTAATAAATGAATGCGTTTGTTTTGTAAACCAATCAATTATACATACGCAAGCTTTGTATAAATTACATTAAGTTTTAAATTTCTCTCATTTATTACAACTACTGTTATTACTTGGCCTATTACTGTTACTACTATAATTTGAATCGGTAGGCTTTCCACTGTGATCATAATTAACACTGCAATTATTGCAACAACTGTCACTGCAATTGCATAAAAGTCTACCAATATATATGTTGACACCAGTATTCTAATATAAATTTCAACTGATGATCCATTGAAGTAAAGTAGCGAATCTTTAACAACAACCATTGAAGTAAAAAGTCCACTACAGGCTCACTATATCCCATGCTACTTGAAATTTTTTGTTTCAAGGCGCGAATCTTAAACAACTTAATTGAAAAGATTTAAACTGTTCAGTCCAGCTAGATTTGTAGCGATGTGTAATTGGTTGCGAATAATGCCCAATTAAAAAATAGTAAACTGCAATGTTACACTGAAATAGGAAGTGTTGCATAATACTGATGACAGTCTATTGCTGCAGTTTACATGCAAATAATATTGTAAACCGAATTGAACTGCATGTTCCTGTATATAAATGTCACAAATTTACGAAGCATATCTTTCCTCAATCATAATACGTTTGTTTACATTTACAAAACGCTTTATAAACACTAGTAGGTTTATAGCAGTAACAACGTTCGATTGCAACGTTTCAGAACTCAGTTTATTAAGTGTAAACAGAGCCGCCATGATTGAGTGAAGGGTGTATAGTTTCGTAGAAAGATGTTTTAAATTATTTTCAAATCTTGTCCGGATGAGAAGGTGGTAAGACAGTTTCACTCAAGTTCTCGATACCTCTCAAGCCGTTGCTACACACAAATAAAAAGTATTAAAGCCCTTTTATGATTAACATTTCGCAAAATGCAGTCCCCCCCCCCCCGGTATACTACCGTTCCCCAATAGTTTGAGAAATGGTTCAGTATCCCTTGCCTCTCGCCATGGTGAACGGCTAAGCTTTCACCTCTAATCACGGATAAATCTTCATTGTGTGGAGGGATAACTAAAGCAAGCTATTGCCTTCAAAACACAACATTGTATAATAGTTCATTGACTTGCTAATTTGCGAACGAAATGCTCCTAACTTTGTACAAGAAAACAGATTACCGACAATGCCATTTCTTAAGTGGCGGAAACCTCTTTCGTCGACTCGAAGCCGAAAGAGGCAACCAATCTTAGTAGATTTTACTCAAGTTATGTAAAGGAGGAGAAATTTAGCAGCATTCTTTGACAGCGTCATTAAGAAGTGGGATTAAACCATATTTAGATCGTCCTCTAACGCCGCCTATTGTGATTTTGATTTCAATTTTCTACTACTGACTAATTGATGATGCTGTGGATAAACTTTAAAGATTCTGTACTGAATACTACCTCACGATCTCAAAGTATTACAGTTGCTTTAATTTAAAAAAAAAAAAAACAAGATTTCAGATAGAATTAAGATTTTCACTTGTAAGTATAAAAAAAATAATCATACGTCTGAAGTACCAGAAATTCTATACTCTTGACTAGATATGATCAGATTAGGCATTTCATTAATATCTGCTCGAATTCCTGGATTATGGCATATGCTAAAATACTTATTATCAACTAAACAGAACTGAGAATGTTTGGAGACCTAGAGTACTCGCTAGAAAAAATTTCGCAAATTAAATGTGTCCACTTACATGACCAAAACTATTTTCAGCAACTAAAACCTTGCTAGAAATAAATTCGCAATAACACACTTTATGAATATATATAAAATGGAGCAAGTTATGCAAGATTTTAATGTAAACTAGTGATAGCCGGGACAATCCCAGCTGTACGAGTGACATATTAAAGTATCCCGTTACCGTTTCAGTGTTAACAAACATTTCGTACCTTTTGAGTCTGTAGGCTGCCTATCTTTTACGAATTAACACGTTTTCTACAAACTACTTCCTCTGTAGCATGTTAAGCCTGATCTTTTATTTTTTGTATTGCAGTATATTAATTATAATTACCAGTGCTTTATTAATATCTTTTATTGTATGAAAGAATGTTTTCAATGTTTTATGTATATACAGAACCTATTTTATGAACTAAAGCATTTTATATGAAGACTTGCATATTTACAAGATTTTAAATTCATTTATTGATAACTAAGAACTTATTCCATCAACATTAACAATCCTAATAAATGCAAGTAGCACATTGTCTTTTATATTCTAGTCAGTAGTGGTTTGACAGTGACGAAAAAAAAAATTACAGAACGTGCTCCAGATTGGAAAAAATGACAACTTAAAAGCCTTTCTTTAGCAAGATCTACTTTGAAGACATTGGTGGATCAACAGACTCTACTCTGAGGAGTTACAACGACTATTGCCTCTTCAGGAAGCATCCTATCTGATAGTTTCACTGCCTCGGGTCATTGCCGGCAGTATTTATGCTTTATTTTTAGTCAACCCGTTCTACTGTGCGTTTATATAGAGTAAAGGAAAAGCCAGAACATTAAAAAAAATATATATATATTTATTTATTAAAATTGGCACCATTTTTAGAGGCCGAAACGAAGTATTGAAAGAATTTAAAATGAGCTTAAAATTAAGAGTTCAACAGTAAATATACAAGTTTCGCCTACACAACACTTTTAAAGAACTTCCCACAATATTTACAAGAACTTACAAAAAATTATTTCAATCTAATTTAATCATTAAACAACATCTCGTTCAATGAATCATGGAAAACATTAGCTGTATACATAGATGAATAAATGAGAAATGAAAGCCATATATACATGTGGGAAATTATGGGGGTGGAATGGATACAGTGAGGGTGGTCACTGCTAGGAATTTACGTATGGGAAAGGTTAAGTTAGTGGGAGCGTTCTACTGGCAACCCACGCCCCTCCCACGGTGGGGGGGGGGGGGGGGGGAGGGATTTATCACTCACTGTCTGAATCCTGGGATTTCAATACTTTCCTCTTAACAGCCTTGTTTCGTTTCGTTGCCTTGTTCTCTTTCCCCGAGATTTCCAACTCTTGTTTTGCTTTCTTAGAAGGTGGTCTTCCGACTACTTTCACGTTATTTTCCTTCAGAGCCTTTTTATTTTGCTTCCCGTTTTCCTTCGGAGGCTTTGCGTTTTCCTTCGGAGGCTTTGCATTTTGCTTCCCGTTTTCCTTCGGAGGCTTTGCATTTTGCTTCCCATTTTCCTTCGGAGGCTTTGCATTTTGCTTCCCGTTTTCCTTCGGAGGCTTTGCATTTTGCTTCGCGGTTTTCTTCCCTCTCGTCTTTGTCGACTCTTTAGAGGAAGACCTTTGCTTTTTCACCACCTTTGCGACACCTTTTGGCTCCTCTGAAGCTGCTGTGTGCTTCTTGTTGACCTGCGGAGTGGCCAGAAGCACAATGTTTTAGTCTATTTAAAGGCATAAGGGTCGGAGAAGAAAGTTGAGAAAGCACCAAGCCATTACGACTATATACCACTTTGAAGGAACCAGGATAAGGACTTGGGATGGGAGGGAGGGTGTAAAAAGGTGGGAGAGGCTCCCAACCCATGTTAACGGAGGGTTTGTAAATAATTATCAAATACCACCAAGACTAACCTAACTGCGTGGCAACTATGTGCAGGAAAGTGTACTAGTAATCAAGTTTTAATCCCGGCAAGTTAAATTCTCATGTCACACAGCACTTTAGTGTATCTAGATAAAACAGGACAAGACTCGATGTCAATAAATCTAGTCTTTTATTGATGCATACAAGACTAGAAACTTTCAAAATTTTGCTGGTCTGAATATCAGGATAGGCTATCAGGAGCCGCTTTGAAGGTGGTCCTGTGTTCAAGGTCCTGTTGAATGATTAGGAGGAACAATGCAGTTACAATAAGTCAAAAACATCGCTAAGCGCTCAAAAAGTTCGTTTATTGGTCAATATGTGACCGAGCTATAATCTAATAGTGATATACCATATTTAAACACTTTCCGTAATGGATAATCAATGTGGTTTTATGAATGGAAGGGAAGCGCCTAGTAGGCAATTCGCTTTTGGAAGATTTAACTATACTTTACTAGAATTATACTGAAACTTTACCAAAAGGAAAAAAAAATACAAACTGGCTTCCAGTGCCATCCTCCAGGTCACCAAAGCTCTGCCAATATATCGAGAACCCGCTAAAATTTCACGTCCTGAAGAGGCACAGCCAATGTTGGATCAATCACTACTGAGGTTCCAAAAGACCTGGTATAAAAGCACTAACGATACAAAAATTAATCAAAAGGCACCAAGCCAGGGTGGCTATGTAACTAAATTAAAAAATTTTAATCATGCAAAATCTTAAAGTTTACCATTTAAAAGAGACAAGGCAGTACAAAAGTTTTATCAGAAACAAAAACAGATGCCATGTGCAGCTTTCTTCAAGTCCGTAACAAGAGGAGAATGAAAGTGTAGATTCATCGTGAGGGAAAAAATCTTTCATTGAAAGAGGGCTCTGGACCTTAACTAGCCGTACTAGTTAAAAATTTGAGGGGCCACATTGCAGTCTAGCACACATGCTTGCAACCTAGTAATCCTTGCAGGGCTTCCAATAGAGTCAAGGGTCAAACTATTCTGTAGAAAATTAGAAAAATTACCTCAAGGCATCTAGATAAGGTTTTTAAGTTGCCAAAAGGTCTTGACAAATGCAAGATTATGAATCTGGTTAATGATGACGTTACAGGATATCACCAGGATGGGGGGGAGGGGTAGAGATAACAAAACCCCGATTGCTAAAGTTATCTGGCGGATCACGATTAGTAGGAATTTAAACCCCCCCCTTAAAAACCTAAAGAGGGCAAATAGGGCAAATAGGACAAATAGGCCCTCTAGGCAAAGAGGGCAAATAGAATTATTTCTAGAAGCGTTAGCAATAAAACTTTGTATTCTTCAGCTATATCCATTCTTGTGCCCCATTTAGATCATGCAGTTCCGTTTTGGTCGCCCTGTTTGAATGACGAATTTCACTTCACAATTTCCTTTGTGCTGCTCAAGGAAGACATCAATTATACAAAATCTTCAGAATCGGTATTCCTCCATTAAAATAATTCCATTAAAATAAAAGAGTCACCCATAGCACAAACGCTGTACTAGATCCTCTTAAGACATTTTATCCAATAGATGCCTTGCGGCCATTCTAAGTTATGCGTCTATGTAACGCGATCTTCATCCTTTTTTTTTCTTCATTTACTTCTAAACTAAATAGTTTATGGGGTTCAGTCTAGGAACCCTATGACTTAAATTTCAGACTTAAGGCTAGTCTCTAACATTTCTGAATTATTAAATCAGTGATCTAGATGAAAAACTATTTTATGTCAATATTTAGTCTACCTCTCCCGAGTGCTTTGTAAAGGTCTGAGTACGTGTTCAGGAGGAAACTTGCATCTTGACAAAGCCACGAGGACAGCGCTAAAGAAAATCTTACATAAAATAAACATAGGATAAACACCCCTCCCCCCCCCAATCATGTCTGGGCTTCTGAAAAGACTAATAATCCAACAGTTCTCCGTTTTCTATATTTATCTACGTTTCGGTTACTGCAATAATATCTTTTGCAGACAAGAGCATTTAAGCCGGAAACCAATATCGCGGGTAACGGCGATGCGAGAGACCGATTGTGAACATAGAGATAAAGTTATGCACTAGGTATATGGCACAAACTTTTAGAAGGTGATTTAGGACTACTATAATTAAATCACGTTGTTAAAGCTTCGCTACCTAGAACGAAAAGCCCCAAGTAGCACGGACTGTAATACTAACCGGTAAGTATGATATAGGCCAGGACTGAAGCACATTTCATCCAGATAAAGTGGGTAAACTATTATAATTCACTCAAGGCTGTAGGGTACTAAAAAAACTTACAAATGTGGAAGCGTAATCATTTGCAATTTAAATGTAGCAACTAGTGGGGAACAACCCTACAAGGACGGGGGGGGGGGGGGGGGGCAATGAATATCTAGTGAGATTTGTCAGAGCCGTGGAGCAGGTAGCAGGAATAGACTAGTCTCCGTTGATGACGGGGGCATGATTAAGCAAGTTGATGAAAAGGAAGGGCTGTTGGTCGAGGGAGCTTGACTATGCGAGCACGAGACTTGCGTGAATAAACCCAGACAATATATTGATAAAGATTAAACCACCAAGAGGTTACGGGCTCCTCATGCCCGTGCCACAAGTACTTTAGTTAACCCTTTGCTCCTATATGGTTAGCTGCCGCCCACATGGTTACACTCCAGCCTGTCCTCTTAAAAAGAACGTCGCTTTTGACCGTTTGCCCGAATATGGATGTAATTTGAAGATGAAATTTGTAATAAATTTGAGTTTTTTTTTTCAACAACAGTAAGTTAAGGGTTCTCTTGATAGGTTAGGAGAGCAGGAAATTCTCAAAAGTTTCAAAACGTTAATGGAAAGTTACCTCTTCTAAGCTTGCCGAGTAAGCCGGACGACTCAAACAGAAAACGTAACAGTACGTCGCTTTTGTGAGTATTTCATTTCAAAATTACGTCCAAATTTGGCCATAGCGCGCATACGAGCCAAAAGCTACGTTATTTTTAAGAGGATGGGTTGTACAGAAAGGCACCCGCCTCGCCATACGAGCCTAAGGCTTACCTTGAACATTCCTTGCGCTCCTTGGGACTTCCCATTGGGCTTGGTCCGGACTACGCTTCCCTCCTCCAAGGCACTTAAGAGCGCCGTCTTCACCCTCAACCGTGTCTTGTTCCAGTCCTTATCCGGATAGGAAGCTGTGGAACGAAACCAATCTTTATAAAAAGGCATATTTGGCACAAGAACAGATTTATGTCTACTCCCATGACTACCTAATCACCTGAAGCGATTGGGTAGTCGCTAAACATACTTCAGGTGCAACGTGGACTAAAACACCTAAAAGGGCATGATTGAAACAAGGGCAGAGATTGAAACAAGAACAGTATTTACGTTAAAACAAGGAACTAACATTAAATTGAAAATGAGGATTTAAAAAGTTTATATTTTATCTTTTTAAAAATAACTAATCATTGGTGGCAACTATGAAAATTCAATATGGTTATAATATAACCGCAAATCAAAATATCAGAGATCAGCCTAACTTAATATTTACAAAATGGTACAAGGCTTTGCATATTTATATTATAAAACCATTTAGCCGAAGAAAAAAATTAACAGCAAGACTTTTCCACAATTTACTAGACAAGCAATATCATGACCCGAAGGTCAATTAGGTCAAGGCTAATTAAAACATTAACGCCAGTAGTAAGCTTTTCGTTTTGTATCGAACACGTTAAAAGGCTTTATTTCAATACATCATATCTGGAAGAGAAGATTGTGCGTCTTAAAAGTTACCTGGAAAACTGCAGAATCTACATTGCCTGTGATCCTCGCCCAGGACGAGGCCCTCTATTTTGTATTTACAAATGCTGTAAGATTGAATTAAGGAAATGGCCACTTCAGTACTTTAGTAGTCAGGGGTCTTCAGGGAGACAAGTTTGTACGAAGATATTAAATGGAAATATCCAAGATTCTCTTAAAAAATGCAAAGTCTTCTTGAGGTTAGCTTTAGATGATTTCGGGGCTTTAGTGTCCCCGCGGCCTGGTCCTCGACCAGACCTCCACCCCCAGGAAGCAGCCCGTGACAGCTGACTAACACCCAGGTACCTATTTTACTGCTAGGTAACAGGGGCATAGGGTGAAAGAAACTCTGCCCATCGTTTCTCGCCGGCGCCCGGGATCGAACCCGGGACCACAGGATCAAAAGTCCAGCGTGCTGTCCGCTCGGCCGACCGGCTCCGGCCGGTCGGCCGGCCGTCTTACCTAGCGTCTCAACCCGTTTTCTCTAGCATTCACAGCGTCACGAAAATTATGTACTAAACTGCCTTAACTTAACCGTCTAGAACACACAAGATTAGATAACGTGAGTTAATTTGGCAAACCGTCAAACGATTTTTAATACACGGCTTATTCTAGAGGACAGGTAATCTAGAGGTTCAAGGGTTGTGAACAACTTGCCTAAACTTGCCCAATCATTCCTGTCCAGCCAACAAATAGACCCCCGGGATCCTACGTTGTAAATCTGCTACGAAACCAGTTTTACCAAGACTTTGGTGATAGACAATTCACAGATTTTAGGGCGTGTTGACCCCCAGCACGTTCTCCAAAGATCCAAAGTCCATTCCATCCAACAGAACCTAAAACCCTAACTTACTTCCAACTATACATCGAATTTTTATATACAAAATTAATTTATATACAAGAACAAACCAATTTGCAATACACTTGTTAAAATTGATGAATTCGTCTGGGGAGGACGGCCGCCGCTTTAAACAGCGTAGTGTGAAAACGGGTTGTGTAAATGCTTCATCCACGTATTAATACAAATCGACAACAGAATCTAAACGCCTAACCAGTGCCTAAATATGTACAATATGCCAAGATAAAATATTTGAGATTTGTTTTTTTAATGAACAATATGTTAAAATGTAATTAAGAGTCTGGGGTCATCCGCTGGATGGAATGGACTTTGAGGACGGGCTGGTGAACCCATACAACCTTCCGGTTAGCGATACACAAGCCTTGCTATTAACATTAATGCATTCTAACACAAACTTTCTTTACCACTTTATGCACCAACAGTCATAAACACTAGAAGAAACAGAGCCTGACTTGAGAAATTTTAAGTCTAATCCGATACTCTAGTAATAAATTCTATAGGTTAAATTATCAAGTCTACACGAGAGAGAACTTACTGAGGTAATGCTTCTTAATTCCCATTAGCGAAATGCCTTTTTTGTCCTTACAAGCAGTTATAGCAGCAAGAACAATGCTTGAGGTGCTTGGGATGACTGCGGACGCTGCGGCTACTGCTGTTCCAGGCTTAACAGGCTTTTCTGCTTCGGCCGCTGCTGCTGCTTTTTTCTTCTTTGCTTGAAGTCTCTTTACGATTGATGTCTGCTTCACATCCGATAGTCTGGAGGTAAGAGGCTTATTAACTTTCTTGGCGGCACCCTTAACCTTCACTTTCAACCGTTTCACTCTTCTTTTATTCTTCGTAGATTCACCATGTTCGACCCTTTCTTGAGGGTTATCAAGATCTTCATCCCCAGGAGCGTTATGTTCAGCTTGCATATCCTCTGCGCCCTCATCCTCCTCACTATCCACCTCACCATCATCACCATTCGCTTCTCCATTATTATCCGCATCATTCTCATCAACGACACCGTTCTCATCCTCTTCCGGGTCACTTTCGTCTCTACGTTCTTTTGAGTCATCTTGGGCTTGCTCTGCCTTCACTTTCCTTGACTGGTTAAGTTCACCCTGTGAAGCAAAATTTATGTTTGAACAATTTATGAAGTACGTAGACGAGGAGTCACAATAACGTGGCTGAAGTATGTTGACCAGACCACACACTAGAAGGTGAAGGGACGACGACGTTTCAGTCCGTCCTGGACTATTTGAGTCCAGGATGGACCGAAACGTCGGTGAAGGAACTACTTCTAGTGTGAGGTCTGGTCAATTTATGAAGTATATTTTAATTTAACACTTTTGGAAAATTAATTTCCGTTTAAGATTCAATATTTTGAACAAAAAGTTCCAATTAGCACGGGTTATGGCGAGTCCGTAGAGGACTATTTTTAAAGATTAGACAATTTTTATAAACTACTGCTAATAGCAGTTAAAGATTAACGTATTAACCATGAATTATCTTGGTATTTTAGTCTAGTATCCTCAATTTCTAATTAAGAAATTAGATTTCTTAAAAATCTCAATTACCTCAATAAGGAATAGTTAAGAAAATCTTGAGCTATGAAGCAATTGCTCTAAGCTAGCTATTAAAACACCAAATCTAAACTTTCCACCCTGTCGTAGCTCAGTCTATTAAGGCAGTGTCTGGGATGCTCCCGGACGCAGGTTCGAATCCTCGTCACGGCCCTTGTGAATTTGTTCATTTAACACTAAAATCTACTCATGTACACAAGTGTTTTTAGACATCTTGCTAACGAATAATGAAGAGATTAAGGCCAACTGTCAAGAGTTGTCAGGGATAACGTATCAAGTCAGCCCAACTGGCAGAGGAAATGCCCAAAATCGGAGTTACATAATATAAAATTATTAGATTAAAACGATCGTTTAATCCGGCTCAATTTCATAGTCCCCCCCCCCCAAGAACTAGAAATTTAAATAATTTCTAGAAATTTAAAGAAGTTTCTAGTCCCTTAATTTCTTTGTTCACAAAATACAAAATCCTAATGTTAGATCTGAGAACAGCAGATAGGGAGGGAGAGAGTTTTCAGGGGAAAGCGCCAAGCCATTACGACTATATACCACTGGGAAGGGGTCAGGATAAAGATTTGGGATGGGACGGAGGGAAAGGAATGGTGCCCAACCACTTGTGGACGGTCTCGGGGGGATTGAACGCCGACCTGCAGGAAGCGGAACCGTCGCTCTACCGTCCAAGTAGTTGGGCATGGAAAGGGGGGGGGGGGTGTAAGGGAAGGGGAGTAGTAGTGAACAAATCCACAAGGGCCGTAACGAGGACTCGAACCTGCGTCCGGGAGCATCCCAGACAATTGCCTTAATCAACTGAGCTACAACAGGGTAAAAAGAGTTGAAACAGGAGTAGTGCTGCGGGTACGGCATTGTCAGTAAACAATATACGAGCTACAGCTAACTTCCACAATCACTGCTAGCTAGCTAATCTTTCCTAGTCCCTTAATCTCATTCTACCAGTTTCACCGTCAGGTCTGCCCCTCGTCACCTCGGATTCGGCGCTGTCAGAGTCTTCAAAGGAGAGCTGGAGCTTCACTGGCGAGGTCTTGACCCGATTATTTCTGCTAGTCTTACCCTTACGGGAAACCATACTCTGAAATAGCAACAATAGCATTTAAATAGGAAAATTAAGCTTTAAGTCACTAGCATCTATCTTGAGGTTATCTTGAGATGATTTCGGGGCTTTAGTGTCCCCGCGGCCTGGTCCTCGACCAGGCCTCCACCCCCAGGAAGCAGCCCGTGACAGCTGACTAACACCCAGGTACCTATTTACTGCTAGGTAACAGGGGCATTCAGGGTGAAAGAAACTTTGCCCATTTGTTTCTGCCTCGTGCGGGAATCTAAACCCGCGCCACAGAATTACGAATCCTGCGCGCTATCCACCAGGCTACGAGGCCCCTCTAAAATGCAAATCTAAAAATCCCTCTAAAATGCAAAATCTAAAATGCAAATGTTTCTTCACACTTGTAATTCAAGTTTATATAAGTATGTGTGTACGTCTGATACCATACTAGTGTAAAGGAGGAAATGTATATGTTTATCTCTCAATGTTCGGTAATATGTTTATTGTTTGTGATGTGTGTCTATGTATGTATTAACACGATGTACTGAACGGGGTGAGAATAGCTTGAGCTACCTCATCCCTTTGCGTGTATTTTACCTCAATAAACTTATTTCAATTTAGCCCAAACCCGCTACATGTAGCCCAAACACGCTACATGTAGCCCAAACCGCTACTTTATGGCTTGTGATGTGTGTATATGTATGTATTAACACGATGTACTGAACGGGGGTGAGAATAGCTCGAGCTACCTCATCCCTTTGTGTGTATTTTACCTCAAACTTATTTCAATTTCTAATTCAGGTCGTGTTTATCTACTACCGACTGATGCAGTGTTTATCTGCCCGTCTACTGTTGTCACTACTAATACGAAACAAGATTGCAAGAAGAAACTAATTGCAAGATACAAAACCATGAGGCAACAATCAAAATTATTTCTATGACTTGTGATTTAACTCAAACGACCAGTCATTACAAACAAACATCCCAGAGTACAATGACGATTTGGGTGCAATAGAAAAAAATTATCCACTTAACCAAATCTCAACTAATTCAACGATTTAAGTTACTGAAGGTGTGGACCCTGGAAACAAACCGTAACTATTTTCCGCTTGTTACAACTTGTAATAAAGTTGTTACATCTTGGCTTAACGTGTTTATGACGTATTAGAACGTTGTTACAACTTGTAATAAAGTTGTTACATCTTGACTTAACGTGTTTATGACGTATTAGAACGTTGTTACAACTTGTTATATTGGTTGTTATAACTGGTTAGGAGGTGTTAAAACTTTTTCGAAAATTGTGCCAACGTCGTAGTTTCGGTGTGTGTTTGGTGGGAGCAGCCAAGTGCAAACACACAGAGAAGCCAATCATAAAACGAATGGGTTGGATTGATAGCCAGGCAATCAGTTAAAAGCTCCCCGCACCCCATATCATACGGGCTCACCATAGCCCGTGCTACTTTGAACTTGTTCCGAATAGCTGAATCTATAACAACCCCACAGCCCTTCATATCGCCAATCAGATATGTAATGCACCAAGAACTAATGTGGTGGAGAAGTAGACTCCACAGATTGATTGATTGATGAAGATTAAGCCACCCAAAAGGTGGCACGGGCATGAATAGCCCGTAAGTGGTGGCCCTTTTGAGCCATTACCAGTATCAAGAGCTGATACTGGAGATCTGTGGAGGTGCGACTGCACCCTGCGTGACGGGAGATGTCTCCTGTGTAGACTCCATAGTTTAGGACATTCAAAAGGACCCGGAACCTGCGTACACACTGTCGAGAGGCGGGAATCAAGAGCCGGAGCTCAACCCTAACACCCCCCCCCACCCTTCCCAGCAAAACACAGGGAAGAACAAAAAACATACAAATATTACACCCGAAATTCCAATCAAAACTATACAAACATACGAAGGCAGAGCTGAAGCAGTCTTACTCCATGTCTAAGTCGGGAATGGGGCGGTTGATAGGCCGGATACGGTGGAGTGGGCGAGCGAAATACCCGTCAGAAATAATCTAGACATCAAAATTTTTTTTCCCATCTACCGGTATGCAAAGAACCACATTATGGCAACACCAACACGCCCAAAAAAAAAAAAAAACTCCTCAGTTACTTACTTTACAAAAACAGCACCAAACCTGCTCCTTGCACCGTCGCACACTAACGAGCCACTTCTGTCGGTGGTTGAGAGGAGGAAAAAGAATAGATTGACTAGGAACGGAAAGTACAGCTCCCCACACACAAATACATACCTGGCAACTATGACGTGCGGGGCCAAGAACTCCGCTCACCACCAACAGATGGCGCTGGTGGCCTGCAGATTGCATCGAATTCTGCTTTTTCTGTCGTTGAATTTCAATTAATAAGAGTTCCTGTGTGTAATAGATATATGAGAGAGAGAGAGAGAGAGAGAGAGAGAGAGAGAGAGAGAGAGAGAGAGAGAGAGAGAGAGAGAGAGAGAGAGAGAGAGAGAGAGAGAGAGACAGAGAGAGAGAGAGAGAGAGAGAGAGAGAGAGAGAGAGAGAGAGAGAGAGAGAGAGAGAGAGAGAGAGAGAGAGAGAGAGAGAGAGAGAGAGAGAGAGAGAGAGAGAGAGAGAGAGAGAGAGAGAGAGAGACAGAAATAAAATGAAATTGGAAGTAATTAAACAAATCAATCTGTCATGATGTTTTTTGGAGGCTTTTGATATTTTTCAATAATTTTTCGAGAGACGACACATCCCTGAGGATGATATCCACCCTGTTATCCATGCAGCAATCCACACATTCATCCAGCAAACCAGTATATTGTAAACAAGGTTAGATTGTATAGCATTGTGTACCTATCTTAATTTATACGACGAGTTAGAAGCTTGAGTTCTATAGCTGACTGGATCCAGTTAGGTTCCTCATCTTACAGGTTGATTGAATATATTGAATTTTGAAACCCAGTCACCTGCTAATTTTAGGTATTGATTGAAACGTCTGTCGGTAATTCTGGACAAAACAACGTGTTTTTCTCTAATTATATGTGTGTGTGTGTGTGTGTGTGTGTGTGTGTGTGTGTGTGTGTGTGTGTGTGTGTGTGTGTGTGTGTGTGTGTGTGTGTGTGTGTGTGTGTGTGTGTGTGTGTGTGTGTGTGTGTGTGTGTGTGTGTGTGTGTGTGTGCGTGTACTCACCTAGTTGTGTCTGCAGGATCGAGCATTGACTCTTGGATCCCGCCTTTCGAGCATCGGTTGTTTACAGCAATGACTCCTGTCCCATTTCCCTATCATACCTGGTTTTAAAATTATGAATAGTATTTGCTTCCACAACCTGTTCCTGAAGTGCATTCCATTTCCCCACTACTCTCACGCTAAAAGAAAACTTCCTAACATCTCTGTGACTCATCTGAGTTTCAAGCTTCCATCCATGTCCTCTCGTTCTGTTCTGTGTGTGTGTGTGTGTGTGTGTGTGTGTGTGTGTGTGTGTGTGTGTGTGTGTGTGTGTGTGTGTGTGTGTGTGTGTGTGTGTGTGTGTATCTGTCATTGAAGAGTTAGGATACATTAAAACACACAGGCTTATCTTTGTGGATTTTTTTTCCCTTTATTCAAGAGTATATCAAATTTTTTCCAGTGCTGCTACAACATTGTGTTAATGGGACACCAGGCGAGCTGGTCTCTTCACTCTTGCTTCCCACCTCCAATGAGGGGAAAGGAATGTGGCCTCAACTTGTCCTCCTACAGCCTGTCCTCCTACAACCTGTCCTCCTACAGCCTGTTCTCCTACAGCCTGTCCTCCTACAGCCTGTCCACCTACAGCCTGTCCTCCTACAGCCTGTCCTCCTACAGCCTGTCCTCCTACAGCCTGTCCTCCTACAACTTGTCCTCCTACAACTTGTCCTCCTACAGCCTGTTCTCCTACAGCCTGTCCTCCTACAGCCTGTCCTCCTACAGCCTGTCCACCTACAGCCTGTCCTCCTACAGCCTGTCCTCCTACAGCCTGTCCTCCTACAACCTGTCCTCCTACAACCTGTCCTCCTACAACCTGTCCTCCTACAGCCTGTCCTCCTACAGCCTGTCCTCCTACAGCCTGTCCTCCTACAGCCTGTCCTCCTACAGCCTGTCCACCTACAGCCTGTCCTCCTACAGCCTGTCCTCCTACAGCCTGTCCTCCTACAACTTGTCCTCCTACAAAAAACGTCGCATTTCGCTCGTATGCTTTACATAAGACCATCAAAATCGTCGTACTAGAAAATGGAAGTGGGGTGGCGAAGGTGCCATACTGTCCCGTTTTCTGTTTTGGGTCCTCTGGTAGGGTAGGGGAGACCACTTTAAATTGACCGTTTTCTTGACGGGAAACCCTTAAGCGTCTTCGTTTTTGGCTACAATATATTAATCAGAGGAGTTTAAAAAATGTCAAAGCAATCGGTGAAGAACTTTCGGAGATTACAACGTGTCTTGCTTTTACGTGCAATAGATGGCGCTGTTAAAAACAACATTTTTTTTACCTGTCACAGGTGCGTGGCATGTATATAGTAGGTATTTTAATAACTTTGAATGATTTCGTATCAGCTCGCCTTGTGCCCACAATTCAAAAATATACAAATATATTTAACAGTAGAGTTTCAAAAACAAAAGGAAATTAGAAGCATAGCATAATGTCCATTTTTATTTTGAAATTCTCTGAATAACAATATCAAGATTAATAAAAAAAAATAATATTTTATATTCCAAGTTTGTTCATATGGCGTTGAGAAAGTCTCAAGGAAGCCCAATAGCTTGAAGCTGTTCTGATTCTTTGCATCCCCCATAACAAAAAAGAAGCCTCGGTTATTTAGAAGAAGCTTTGCCTATAGTGAATATGAAACCACTTCGGTCGGGAATATGGAACAAGCTTCATTCGCTTCTCGAAATACAACATCCAATACGTTCATACAGGCATGCACACACATATACAGACATCCAAAATACATATATACATTCCCACGCGTACATACACATATTCAACTATCATTGCTCTTGTATATCAAGGTTTCTTGCACTGTGTATATGTTTAAACAAACTCATCATCATTCCCCTGTCCCCCCAACCCGATAAAAATCCGCATATATGTCCATACACACACATTCATTCTTATATAAATATATAAAACATGATATGAGGAGCGGAAAATTAACATTATCTCATCAAACAGCCAAAAATGATTGAGGACGGAATGTGAACAAGTATTGCAAATAAGTTGCCATAATCTGGCAAATTGCACAAGCAAAACAAAAAAATTTAAAACACATCACATGAAATAGTTTAAATAATTTAGTTATTCCATAAATCAGTAAAAAAAAAAAATTAACGAAAAAATGTCTGATAACACCAGAACCAACTTTGAAATCACGAACAAGAATAGTCTGAAACCTCAGGTAGAGGTATATATATATATATATATATATATATATATATATATATGGCTTTTTTAATACATACAAATTGCCCATACACATACAAATTTATAAAGCCTTGGGTCAGGCGGTTACTACGATACAATTGAGAGCCCTGTTGAACCGTTGTTACATAGCGATTGCTACCGCTGTTGGTCCGTTGTTCAAGCTATCCATCATCACTGACACTGACACAGCTTTGACACATGTCCTGTTGACAAACTGTGTCAACAGGACATTGCGACAATTTAGTATATACACAAATTATTTGTCAAAGTTTTGCACTGTAAGATATTGCAAGGGCTGACTCAACTAAAAACACAGTATGTCTGTGTTGCATATTGTGTCTATGTTAAGTCTTTCTGCATGTTGTCTTATGTATGTACTTGCCATATGTGAATGTTTATAATACGATGTATCATGCAGGATGAGGCTGAGTTGAGTGTGGTTGTGTCTTTTGTGTATTATGCAGATTCATATTACATATTTCCTCTGTTATATGACAAGTTCGTCTACAAGTGGATGTGAAGGCAAGTGTTTTCCCCCAACCAAAGAGGTTTAAAAGAAGTCACAAGCATCATTTATTGAGAAAAATGTAACTTCGACGTGACCGAGTTGGTCTGGTCATGCCCCGTCTCCTGTCTCTCCCTAATTTACACTACTTTGAAAGTTATGTTAAAACAAATAAGTTATCACCGCTATAAATAGTATTTTCTCAACACTAAAACTACAAAAAATTGTTAAAAATTTCGCTATATTATGATGTATTTTAATTAACAAGAAGTTTAATTTTTGATTGCTTATACCATTACAAATTTAAACCAAAAAAATAATTATGGAAATATTATTAAAATAAACCTATGTTACACACTAAATAATTATTGTTAAATAATCCTGCACAATAATATCTTAACGATTCAACATCAATTCCACAGAATAAACACAAATGCTAAATTACTCTAACTATAAACGTTAATTAACATTATTATACAAAAGCCGAATAAACATCTAATAAGCCTCTCAGTGGCTGTCAGCTGCGCTCTCATAATCACAGCAAAAGAAAAACTAAAATAAACACCCATTTCATCTCCCAAACAGGTCGAACTCGGAAAGATAATCTTTACGGGTTATTCATGCCCGTGCCACCTCCTGGCTGCCTGAATCTCGATCAATCAAAGAAAACGTTTCAACGAAGGACGTTAAATACAGAGAACTATAAACATGGTGAGAGAGTAAACAAGTTATCGATCAATTTAAGGAGAAGATCGCTGACTTGAGGTAACTTGAAGCTCTACGGGACAGAGACGACAATAACTTGAGTTACGACTCGAGTTGCGATTGTCGGAGAGGAAAGAAGAGCGTAAATCGAAGGCTCCTGAAGTCACCAAATGGTGGTAATACACAAGAGGATCAGTCTTCTAGTGAAGATCTAAACATTCGCTGTTGCATGTTTGAGAGTGTGGCTGTAGTCGAGTGTTGAATGTATATGGAAGTGTTTCTGGCTGGGTGTTTCATGTTCGGAAGTGATTTGGTCCGGATACTACATGATTGGGGATTGATTATTTAGTTCAATGTTACACATTTGGTAATGACATGCTAGGATGTTGCACCTTTGGAAGTGATTCTTAGTCAGGTGTTGCATGATCGAGTAAACTTTGAGTTGAGTTTACTTATTTAGAAATAACCCTTTTCCAAATTTTGGAGTTTAAGGAAACTTGCATGTTTGAATAGGACTCTAGATGGTAACCTAGTCATTTTTTACTATAAAAAATGATTCAATACTGAATATTAGAGTAATAAATGTTAATAATTTTACAGTAAATCGGAATCATTAAACAATTTTAAATATAAATTGAATAACTTTAAAGTGATGACAAGAAATTATTATATGTTGAACAATATTACATAAATGCTTGATAATTCTATCTAAATGTCGATGAAAATGTTACATAATTGATACATTATATTACCTAATAATTTAGCATAAAATATTCGAAATATCGGGTCAGGTTTTGCCTCAACCAACATATTACACAAATAATATATTAATACTGACAATTAGGTAAAAGAATATATGTAAATAACAAGGTAAATTCTCACATACAAGTTTTTTTTCGATGGGCAAATTCTTCATCTATATTTTAATGATGTGATATATTGGACTTTTTTCCTCCAATAACACATTGGACTTTTCCTTCCTGCTAGCTTAATGACGACTCTTATTTACAATTTTTGGACTTGTTTGAGAACATTTGAGCCTATATGCAGCAGGCCTAGTTATTTTAATACACTTGAGTTTACTTCCGAATGTTATTTTCCACAGGGAAATGATAAGAGTAATTTATAGGCCCTAATATCACTTCAGCTTGTGCTTGGAACGTTTTTATTCACCTGGGTTTATGGACTGAACAATGAACTTACGAACCCTTGGAATGCATGCCAATACAGTGTAGCTGTATATGCTGCCTAGCTATCTATTAAGTATAGCTCTAAAATCTATAAATTATAGATATGAATAAGTTGAAAAACTTTCAGGAGAAAGGTAACTCTTTTGAAAGGTTGAACACTTGGAAAGTATCATGCCCAAAGGCAAGAAAGTAATGCACCAAAATTCAAGAAAGTAGTTACCCTATAAGAGATATTTGATTTTTTAAAAAAGAAAACCATATTTTATGTTAAGCAATTCTGTCTTTTTCAGGCATGATACGTTTACTACAGAACTGTGTTTACATAAACCAAATATGCAACTGTAAATGGGCAATTTGTAACGTACGAAATAAAAACAAAACACTATCAACATGGTTCCACCAGCTGATCACTCACATGGAAAAGAAAACGGGAAAGAGGAAGCAAAACTATTTTAAGTTTCGACCATTCGTACATATTGGGGAACCGCGTCGCGGGTTCCAATACGCATTCTAATTTATGGCTCTAGATGTTCGAGGCCGCTGGCGTCAGGCCAGGGGGGGTTCGACGCCCAACTAACGCTATACAAATATGTACACATCTAACACCTTGTACCATCAATCGAAGCAAATCAATAGGAACCTAATAACTAATAGCGCACCAGATATTTTTGAGTGTGTACGAGCGTGTATGTGTGTGTGTGTAGGCGTGTGTGGGCGTGTGTGTGTGTGTGTGTGTGTGTGTGGGCGTGTGTGTGTGTGTGTGTGTGGGCGTGTTTGTAATACGTTTTTGAGTGCATAGAAGTGGTACTGGAGCACTTGACAACAGTTTATTTACAGGTAATGTTTGGGGAGGTACCAACATATAAGATGGCGTCAGTGTGGTGTCAGTGTGGCGTCAGTGTGGCGTCAGTGTGGTGTCAGTGTAGCGTCAGTGTGGTGTCAATGTAGCGGTGCTACTAGTGAAAATAAAGGTACTGAGGATACGAATTGCAGGAGAGGGGTAAATCTACCCCCAGGTTATGCAGGTAGGCACGCCCGTGGCCCTGTCGAGCCTGAAGGTCTGGCCCTGAGGGCACGGCCCCTGCAGGAAATGTTGATAGCACTTGCCGTCGCTCTCCCAGAAGTGAGTTGTCATATCGGCGTGACAGTCGCATGTCATTCGCCCGGTTTGGGGGTTCTCCACCACCAGCTGGCCGTCAGGGCACGGCCCGGCTGTCAGGCGTTCGTAGCACGTTTTCGAATCTTCGTGCAGCACGTGAGAGGTGAAGCAGTTGCATTCGGTGTGGCCGGATGTCTTATTGAAGCTGAAATACATGCCAACGGGACATGGCCCGATGGAATGTTGTTCGTAGCATAAATTGTCGTCATTCCAGTAATACGGCGTCCATTCCTTGCGGCAGTGGCAGCCGGATATACCCGTGTTGGTGTCCAGATAGAAGAGCTGGCCAAGGGGACATGGACCGCGAGAATACTGGCGGTAACACCGCTCGTCAGCGGTCCAGTAGAACCAGTTGTCGAACCGCGCGCACTGCTCCTTGCGTTGACAGACAGCGACGCCTGGCTGGGAGAACACGAGCCAATCTCCGAGTTGACAGGGCCCTCTCGAGTACGGCTCGTAGCAATGACCGTCGGCGGTGGTGACATTTCCCGGCAGACACTTGCACTCGGTCTTGAGTGTGTCGAGATTGCGCAAGTAGCAATTAATGCCTTCGTTGCAAGCGGTCTGGTCGCAGGGTCCGGCGGTGTTGAGAGGATAGCAAGTGCCATCTTCCTCCAGCATATAGCCATCCCGGCATTCGCAGACGGGCTGCAGCGTGCGGTAGTCGAATTTAAGCAGATGGCCCTTGGGGCACGGCCCTTGCTCGTAGAGCGGATAGCACAGGCCGTCGGCCGGGTAGAAATGCATGACGAACTCGGCCGAGCAGGAGCAGAATCCATCGGTGCCCGGACCACGCCCCATGTACAGCTCTCCGACGGCGCAGGGCCCTTGTGTGTACTCTTGGTAGCAGGCGCCATCTGTCCACATCGCCCAGAATCCGGGACATCTGCAACACAAGGATATATTACAATAATGTAGATGCTTCGTCCTAGTGTGGATAACATAGGCAAGTCAGCTGTGTACATGACACACGCAAGCCAGCTGTGTGCATGACACACGCAAGCCAGCTGTGTGCATGACACACGCAAGCCAGCTGTATTTTCTACACAGGCAAGACAGCTGTGTGCATGACACACGCAAGCCAGCTGTGTGCATGACACACGCAAGCCAGCTATATCTTCTACACAGGCAAGACAGCTGTGTGCATGACACACGCAAGCCAGCTGTGTGCATGACACACGCAAGCCAGCTGTGTGCATGACACACGCAAGCCAGCTATATCTTCTACACAGGCAAGACAGCTGTGTGCATGACACACGCAAGCCAGCTGTGTACATGACACACGCAAGCCAGCTATATCTTCTACACAGGCAAGACAGCTGTGTACAGGACACAAGCAGGAAGCATGATACATTGACCCTGCCGTAACACAAGCAACCATCAGCATTCATTTATCTTGCAATTTGCACTTCAGGACATTGCATCACTCTCTAAATAACCAAACTACTTGTAAACATTATTAAACAAGCTGTAACTGACTCATGGCAATTGGATATTTACCAACACCTGAGGACTCTGGCCAACATATGCTGGATGCACAGATGTTGGTACAGTGTGGGAGGTGTTTGATATATGATGTTAGTGTGACACGTGTTTGATACACGACTTGGGGCCGTGTGACAGGTGTTTGATATTCGACTGGGGCAGTGTGACACGTGTTTGATACATGATGTTAGTGTGTCAGGTGTTTGATACACGACTGGTTCAGTGTGACACATGTTGGGTACATGACTGGTAGAGTGAGACACATACTTGACACACAACACACACTCACTGACACTGACAACTTGAGAGCATCGCAAAACAGAGCCCCACATCAGGATACATTCACACATACCAAACGTAATATGTATCCCACTTTACCACAACCTTACGCGAATGATCGCTTTGTTGTACCTAATACAGCCTGTATGATACAGCCGAGGCAGATTATTTAGAGTGTGTGAGAGTGAAGAGCATAGTTCAGCGTGTGGGGGCACTTTAATGCCTGTGGAATGCTGTAGTCTTTGTAGCATTTAATGCACTCTATGTATAGTTACAGCATTGTCGGATACAACGGATGTGGGTTTGATATGTTTAGAAGTGGGATTGGGTGGTTATAGATAGGAGCTGCCTCGTATGGGCCAATAGGCCTTCTGCAGTTACCTTGTTCTTATGTTCTATATTCTTATGTTATGTAACACTATGTAAGTACAGTAGTGTGTGTTGTATTAGCTACTTTGTGTGTTGTAGTTAATGTTGTAACTACTAATGTTGCTGTTGAATCATGTGTGTTCAAATCGTTTATATGTGATTGAACTATGTGTGTAAATCATTTAGCTGTGGAGGCGAGGAGTCACAATAACGTGGCTAAAGTAAGTTGACCAGACCACACACTAGAAGGTGAAGGGACGACGACGTTTCGGTCCGTCCTGGACCATTCTCAAGTCGATGGTCCAGGACGGACCGAAACGTCTCGTCGTCCCTTCACTTTCTAGTGTGTGGTCTGGCCAACATTTAGCTATGGTATTGGTTAGTGTGTGTGGCGAGGAATGGAATTGCAATTTAAATAAGTTTATTGAAGTATAAATAGACATAAAGGAAGCCCAAGTCTCCCACGTTTGACCTCACGCTGTCACCCACTCAGCCAAAGTCAACCAGGGGTCAACAAGGGTCAACCAGGGGTCAAGACTGACCTGCATTCAGCGTGACCTGATGCGTTAGCCGCTAACTGTTGGCCGGGGTTACAAGGCCCCAGGGTGAACTCCGGGTAGCAGAGCCCCGTGTTCGGCCAGTAGACGTGGTAATCGGCGCAGACGCAGTCCTGTTTCCCATCCACCACCACGGCTTCGAATCCCTCTGGACACTGCTTCAGTGGCCGCTCACGGGCCGGGCCTGCGCTAGCGGACGCGGCCAGCGCCATCACCACCATCACTAATGAGAACATCCTGCAAAAATTGGACATTTTAACTCATTTATTCAAAAACAAACAAATCTTATAACATAAAAATTGCATTAATCAATTGCGAATGTTGAAGAATGTCTATATTTATTCATGTATGCACATGTGATATTCTACTGTTTTTTTTTTTTTGCATTTTGTGTTCCATAAAAAGGTTGAAGTCATGAATTCTGAAGCCATATTCACAAAAGCACTTACGCAAGCACATACGAACCAGTACATCTTTTCTCAATCTTTGGCGGCTTTGGTTACAATTATTAAACAGTTAATGAGCTCCGAAGCACCAGGAGGCTGTTTATAACAATAACAACAGTTGATTGGCAAGTTTTCATGCTTGTAAACTGTTTAATAAATGTAACCAAAGCCGTCAAAGATTGAGGAAAGATGTACACGTTCGTAAGTGCTTGCGTAACTGCTTCGTGAATCTGGCCCCAGGTTCGTAAGTGCTTTCGTGAATCTGGCCCCTGGCCTGCGGCTTGAGGTCAGAATTAGTATACGCTCAAGAGGAATTCGAGCCTTAGAGGCGCAGTCAAATTCGGAAAGATATTCAACAAAGTTGTGGTTAATTATGGCTTTGGACGGTATGGGATTCAGACGGCTTAATATTAAGTTTGGTGTATGGGACGACGAGAGATGATTGGACTGGTGTGGATTATCCAGTCTTGGTACAAAGGCTAACTGTCGGGACTCGATTTATGGCCACATTTGATGCAGTTTCCCCCCTCCCACCCCACGTTAAGTCAGTGGAGTGGAGGGGGGAAACTGCATCAAATTGGAAACTTTACCCTTTTATTTATTTATTTATATACAAAAAGGTACATTGGCTTTGTGAGGATACATATCATGGTATTTACAATCTTGTAAAGCCACTAGTACGCGCAGCTGTTCGATTCCTTTGGTAAAGTTCCTTGTGATTAGATGGTAGTCTTTGATAAACTATGTGTTAAGACGGTATAGCCTTTGATAAACTGTTACGTGTTAAAATGGAAGCCTTTGCTAAAATTCACAGATGGTAGCTGGCATTCTTGAATGTTACGCTGCTTAAATATATTAGCAAAAATACAAAACTTATCTAAGATCAAATTTATTATTTATTTATTTATTTATTTATTTATATACAAGAAGGTACATTGGGTTTGAGAGAATACATAGCATAGTATTTACAATCTTGTAAAGCCACTAGTACGCGCAGCGTTTCGGGCAGATACTTAATACTTAAATAATAATACTTAATACTTAAATAAACCAAATTTTACAGACGTCAGGTGAGGCAGCGTACATTTGATTTTGATTTGTTAACGATTTTAAATAATTTGTCTCAAATGAAATATCTAAACTATTTAAAACAGAAAATAATACTACTTAGGCTTACCATGCACTCACATACACAATCTTAGAGGTTAATTTAGGACCCGGAGCCGGTGGCAGTGTTTTGAACTATGTGGAAACATAAATCCAACAGTTCAATTTCTTTATTATGCACCCCATACCCATCCCGTTGGCAGCGGTGGAAAGGGTTTGCAGTTACACAATACCCAGTAGGATGCAACAATGTGGTATTGTGACTCGAGTGTCAAAATGATACGACTTGATGAGTAGAATATCACAGTCTACGGGATCGCCATAGCCCGTGCTACTTGGAATTTTTTGTTCCAGGTAGCGAATCTTTAACAACAACAACAACAACAACAGAGTTCTCTCTCTCTCTCTCTCTCTCTCTCTCTCTCTCTCTCTCTCTCTCTCTCTCTGTCTCTCTGTCTCTCTGTCTCTCTGTCTCTCTGTCTCTCTGTCTCTCTGTCTCTCTCTCTGTCTCTCTGTCTCTCTGTCTCTCTCTCTCTCTCTCTCTCTCTCTCTCTCTCTCTCTCTCTCTCTCTCTCTCTCTCTCTCTCTCTGTCTCTCTGTCTCTCTCTCTCTCTCTCTCTCTCTCTCTCTCTCTCTGGAAAGTACATTCACTTCTACTTTTCCAACTTTTGTTTTTGCTTGGGTCTGGCAAACAACATTCACATCAAGTCTACTTTTACAGCTGTTCTTGTTTTATGAGTCTTGGCGTCAGCTGCAGGTCCAGGTCGACCGCTGTGATCTTCACATTTGCCGGTTGGTTCAGCGAACTTTACTGAGAGCCCAATCGCTACGGCTGTTGATGTTGGTGGTGTAGTTTTTGCAGGTTTTGCACATCCTCGGCTGATTACTCGATCTCCATGGGCCATGACAGTGAAGAGTTGGGATATTTGGTTTGATGTTAACTGCTTGGTAAGCACTTTTAGGTAGGTTAGAATTGCTATAGCATTCATCTGTTATTACTGCATTCATCTGTGATTACTTCATTCATCTGTCATTACTGCATTCACCTGTGATTACTGCATTCATCTGTCATTACTTCATTCATCTGTCATTACTGCATTCACCTGTCATTACTGCATTCACCTGTCATTACTGCATTCACCTGTCATTACTGCATTCACCTGTTATTACTTCATTCATCTGTCATTACTGCATTCACCTGTTATTACTTCATTCACCTGTCATTACTGCATCCACCTGTCATTACTGCATTCACCTGTCATCACTGCATCCACCTGTCATTACTGCATCCACCTGTCATTACTTCATCCACCTGTCATTACTGCATCCACCTGTCATTACTGCATCCACCTGTCATTACTTCATCCACCTGTCATTACTTCATCCACCTGTCATTATTTCATCCACCTGTCATTACTTCATCCACCTGTCATTACTTCATCCACCTGTCATTACTTCATCCACCTGTCATTACTTCATCCACCTGTCATTACTTCATCCACCTGTCATCACTGCATCCACCTGTCATCACTGCATCCACCTGTCATTACTGCATCCACCTGTCATTACTTCATCCACCTGTCATTACTTCATCCACCTGTCATTACTGCATCCACCTGTCATCACTGCATCCACCTGTCATCACTGCATCCACCTGTCATTACTGCATCCACCTGTCATTACTTCATCCACCTGTCATTACTGCATCCACCTGTCATTACTGCATCCACCTGTCATTACTGCATTCACCTGTCATCACTGCATCCACCTGTCATTACTGCATCCACCTGTCATCACTGCATCCACCTGTCATCACTGCATCCACCTGTCATTACTGCATCCACCTGTCATTACTGCATCCACCTGTCATTACTTCATCCACCTGTCATTACTTCATCCACCTGTCATTACTTCATCCACCTGTCATTACTTCATCCACCTGTCATTACTTCATCCACCTGTCATTACTTCATCCACCTGTCATTACTTCATCCACCTGTCATTACTTCATCCACCTGTCATCACTGCATCCACCTGTCATCACTGCATCCACCTGTCATCACTGCATCCACCTGTCATTACTGCATCCACCTGTCATTACTGCATCCACCTGTCATTACTTCATCCACCTGTCATTACTTCATCCACCTGTCATTACTTCATCCACCTGTCATTACTTCATCCACCTGTCATTACTGCATCCACCTGTCATCACTGCATCCACCTGTCATTACTGCATCCACCTGTCATTACTGCATCCACCTGTCATTACTGCATCCACCTGTCATCACTGCATCCACCTGTCATTACTGCATCCACCTGTCATCACTGCATCCACCTGTCATCACTGCATCCACCTGTCATTACTTCATCCACCTGTCAGTCCCAGAACTAAGAGGAATGACTCACAGAACTCACAATAATGTAATATATCAAATGAACAAGTCCACAAGGGCCGTTATCTTGAGGTTATCTTGAGATGATTTCGGGGCTTTAGTGTCCCCGCGGCCCGGTCCTCGACCAGGCCTCCACCCCCAGGAAGCAGCCCGTGACAGCTGACTAACTCCCAGGTACCTATTTACTGCTAGGTAACAGGGGCATTCAGGGTGAAAGAAACTTTGCCCATTTGTTTCTGCCTCGTGCGGGAATCGAACCCGCGCTACAGAATTACGAATCCTGCGCGCTATCCACCAGGCTACGAGGCCCCCTTGATGTGATGACAGTTCGAACCTACTCAAGGGATGATCCCAGACACGCCTTGGTCAACTATGCCACAACATGGGCAGAAGAATTGCAACCTGGAGTGCTTCTGCTCTCACTATAGGATCCCTAAGCTTCTCCGAAGCCCAAATCGGGGTTTCACACAATCCCCCAACCATCATAAATCTGTCAATCAGATGTTCTGCCTCTTCGCCTTTACCTCAATATACTTTGTGGATAATTGTGGATTTGTTCATTTAAGAGGAATGGGTTACGAGGAAAGGCTGAGTGAACAGCTCCTCACGTCGCTGTAAAACAGAGGAGTTCGAGGAGACATGATCACCACATACAAAATTCTCAGGGGGAATTGATAGGGTAGACAAGGATGGACTATTTAATACAGGTGGCACACGAACAAGGGGACACAGGTGGAAACTTAGTACCCAGATGAGCCACAGAGACGTTAGAAAGAACTTTTTCAGTATCAGACTAGTTAGTAAATGGAATGCATTAGGCAGTGATGTGGTGGAGGCTGACTCCATACACAGTTTCAAGTGTAGATATGATAGAGCCCAATAGGCTCAGGAACGTGTACACCAGTTGATTGACGGCTGAGAGGCGGGACTAAAGAGCCAGAGCTCAACCCCCGCAAGCACAATTAGACGAGTACCCAACTTTCACCCCGGAAATGTGGTGGTCAACCACCAGGAGACACAACTTCCTTCCATTCCTCTATATCACTGTTCTTTCACCTTCCCTTTGACCCCTCCCTCCCTTTCCCTTCCCTTAACCCCTTCCCCTATGCCTCTCCCTTCCCCTACCCGTGTCTCAGAGCTTCTCCTTACCTACATTGCTTATCTATCTCTATCTCCGTCTCCTATCTTGTACTAACCTCTCTCTATTCATTCTCATAAGCACCTATATCTACTACATCACTATGTTCAGCATTCGCTTAACAACTATACCGGATAAACAGTTTGTAAA